CTCTCTCTCTCTCTCTCTCTCTCTCTCTCTCTCTCTCACACACACACACACACACACACACACACACACACACACACACACACACACACCACACAACCCACACACACACACGCACGCAACGTCCCAATCTGTGCTCTTCGATTGCAACATTGATCCCCCACCTGAACGCAATCACATTCATCCCAGAACACACACATAGGCGCAGAAAGGTTTCACAAGCAACCCGACACTAGGCTGACATCTGCCTGCACATCACGTCATAAGACAGAGCACTGCGAGGTCGATTGTTGCATACATGAAGACCAAGGAGGACATTACAAAGACTGAATAAGGACGGCGTCTCAGATATATCAGATCCATCAACCACATCAAGCATCGACGTCGATACCATAAAAGATTCAGGACTGCTACACTCACCATTGAACGCTAAGTTCGCGACCTGCTTTAGTTCCTCCGCACACTCCATATCAACAGGGCATGAGCCGTTCATTCCTCGCCGTGCTTTTCCTTCTCAACTGCCCACAAAAGAGAGAGAGAGAGAGACAGAGAGAGAGAGAAAGAGGATTGCTGTCGTAACACCAGAACACTGCTTCCCTTGTGTTACGGGACGACCTTGTTCACCGCCCTCTTCCCCCGATTCAAGGCCTTGACCAAAGGCAGGCAAAGAAAGCCTGCTGGCACGGGGACTACGGATGGAATAGAGGGAGCCCACGTCAGTGACGAGCGAAGAGCCGGTGAATGACTAATGTGCTGATGATGTCGCACACGGCCGCCCACCAGATTGGAGTGAACTGAGCGTGACGAAACTGAACTTATGCTCCCACCATCACTGGATGCTACCGTTGCTCAAAGCTCATGACCGGGGACCTCACTGCAGGATGACGTCTCTCAAAGCTCATCAGCTTTGAGCAGTTTGATTGCCACGATACGTGTGCGGCAACAACGGTGACCTGGCATGTGAACCCCGTGCGACAACAACGGCTCCCGATGCCGTGCTCGGAATGCCGCACACAGACCTAACAGATCTTCGTTGAAACCCCCTGGCATTCCGGTGAAGTAAAGCTATGGCAGAGGTGAACAGAGGATGTGCCTTTCAGGAACGAACCAATGACCACGTGCCTCGGCCTCGCCGCAAACCGAATCGCACACCCAAACCCCTCCGTGTGCCGCAAAACGTGTACGTTTCCACGTGACTACCTGGCCCCCTGTGGAGGAGACAGCTACTCGTCCATGACCATCTCATTGCCGACAATGCCGCGACAGGACAGCAGAGTCCGACGGCGGCATGGATGGATTGAGCCTTTGAATTGGAGCCGAACACCGTCTACAACTGCAAAGGCCCCACCTCAAACGATAACCCCAGCCTCGGTCTGCCAAACCACCAACACGTCAAGTCTATACGCGCGTGTTCGCCCCCTTTTTCCACTTGCCGCCTCCTGCTCTGCACGCCCGCGCTCTCGCGCCGCGCACTTCCCGTCCTCACCCTCCGCGTTCGCCACGACGCAAGGTGATACCGTTATTCCAAGGCACCCGCGAAGTTAGGTGCCAGCGGACCACTGGATAGAACTCGTCGGTAATTCCAGGCACGCGGTCCCCGAGTGGCACGCCGGTACTCGGCGTCGGCTGGACCCCACAGCCGTTCTTTGAGCTGAGCATGAGAGCCGCGTGGAAAGGCGCCAAGCGTACCGAGTGCCTACCTCAGACCTGAGTTCAAATCCGGGTGGAGTTCGGTGAATGATTTTTCTTTTCGCAGCCTTAGGGCCTCGTTTCACACCACTTGAGTTCAAGAGCCAAGCGAAAAGTCATCGTTCCACCCCCTCTAAGAGCGACCCGGGGTCTCGGCCCACATGCACCATGTTTCCAGCCCGTCAGGGTTGCGTTTTATGCCCCTGAGACATTTTTCGTCGTCGTTCGTTATACCGGTCGTTCATTCGGGCCCATTGGTCATTGAAAGGCTGGTAAAATGAAAGGCACGGGCATTTAGGAGGGGGCGGCAGTTCAAGCAAATGCAGGACCGGTGTCAGGCGGCCACTAGCAGTGCGCCGCCTGAGAACCGCAGTTTTGGGACTTAGGCTCAGGGACGGATCTGTGTTTTGATGGTAGTCTCGTATGACCAGGCAGCCAAAAATTAGGGGAACCCAGGGCACCCCTGATTTTGGACGCACTGAACTTTATAAGTAACCCTCAGAGATGGCGAGATGGGTGACCGGACTCGGCATGTCTAGGGACTGTCATTTCCGACCGTTCATAGGGTTAGACCCGGATTGACCTGCCGTGGAGAGGCATCAAGGGAGTTGACCTCGCCGCCACGTTTTGTAGCATACGACCGGGGCGAAATGCGGCCTCAAATTTTTGTCTATTTTAGTACCGTAATTAAAGATGGGAAGAGGGGTTAAGACCAGTAGGGGAGAAGGGAAAAACATAATATCCCCTAATTTCTTTATTTTTTCACAACATTTCATTCTAGGGGGAATACCGTTGTTATTTTATTTTTCCGACAATTAAATTAAAAACATAGAAAAAGATTAAAAATCGTAAAAGAGAAACAAGGAATTCGGTCATTTATTTAAACTTTCCCGGGATTGAATTTTATGGAACTTACGATTAATTTACTATTTCCGACAACAGAATTAAGGAAAGGGGGGAATGATTAAAAACGATAAAAGGGACGGGAACCCATGACTATTGGGAGATTGGGCTAATTTCGCCTTGATTACCCGTCATCAGCCCTGACCCCGGATTGAGCATTTTTCCCGGATTTTATCAGTTTCCACTACTGCCGATGACCGAGGCTCCCTGCGTCGTTTTCACTGGTTTGCTTGATTACTAACATTATCGCAGTTGGGATGTTCTGAGAGCGGGGGTCGCATGGACAGGTGCTGCCTTGGGTCGACTATGGTGTTCGGTTCGGTACGGATATGAGGGTTGTTACGGAGAGGCTACGTCCTACGATGTCTGATGTGCTTCAGGTACGGTATAGACCCGATGACAGTTGTTTCACTAAGGTGACTTATTTTCAGGTTCGGGACAGCTGCGGTGATTTATTCTCAGGACCGGGGCCACTACGACAGTTTTTCCAGGTTTGGAACCTTGGCGGCAGTTTGCTTCAGGTCCGGAATAGGTTCGGTACYACCCTGGTTTTTCAGTTTTCTACGGTATCCARCATCGGTATGATACACATCACTACACCACTTTCAGGTTCGCRGTGATKTATTCTCAGTTCGGTGTTGACAACTCAGAATTGTCAAGTGGCTATTTCTGGTTCGGCCCGACACTCTGATCCGGGACAGATATGGAACAAGCATGGTAACTGGGTGTTGGGAGCAACAG